ATCTGACGTTCTACTTATCATTCTGTGAAGATTTGTGAACTGATGCAGAGTGTTGATCAATGTTAGTATTATGCACAAACAGTTCAACTTGCTGATTTAATTGTTTTGATTGGAAACCATTTATTAATCTTGAGGACGCGACATGAAGGCGCTTGTAGTATTCGCTCGCGACTTGTACCAACGATGATCTTTCAACTTTGCTAGCAGTTAACGATGCTGGTATAACATATTGCATGAAGTCTTTCATAATATTGATAGTATCTGCTAAGACTGCTTGATGTAGCTGAATATCGAGAGTAACGGTTTTTATACTTGATGATACTAGATCAACTTTATTTTCAAGCCGTTTGTTACTATCGATTAGTTTTGTCAGATTATCATTGATGGATTCAATTGTTTTATCAGTATATGATGCTCGTAAGTCATTCGACTCAACAGTTGTACGTGGTAGCGCAGTATTCCATTTTTTATTGGAATGATTATCACTTGCTGCTAATGGTGGAAAGTCTTGCTCTCGACGTTCAAATGTAGGTGCTTTCTCTTGCGGTGAGAATCGCTGTAATAGTCCTTTTTGTATGGCATCTTCGACATCTTCCTTTAATTGATCTTTATATTCTTTTAAAACTTGACATTGACTATCCAACGAATGATGATCTCCATCACATTGAGCACATTTCGGTACATTTTTACACATATGAGGAGTATTGACATTCAGACTTTCATAACAAATACGACATTTGCTTTCTGAGCTGCATTTGTTCCTTAAATGGCCAATACGCCAACATTTCGTGCAGTACGTTAAACGATTTCCCGGATAAAACTTGGTGATCGATAACCACGAATGACCTATTGCAATTCGCCCCAGTTGCAACACAGCATTATATTCACGATAATCTTTCACTTCGAATCGATAATCATCTGTTCTTCTTTGGTATGAATAATGAATACGTTTAATACGATCTGCAGAAGCAATTGTTCGCTGAATTTCATTTGAAACAAAATTTTCATCTAATTCTCTAGGTATATAACGAACGACGAGAGCGAATGAATCAGGTATATATTTTGGTTTCACGACCACAATATCAATTCCATTTATCTTTGTTGGCCATTTATCCGAACTGACGAGAGTAACGTAATCTTCTTTATTATTAACACCTAACTTTAGCTTTTTTCCTGCCCATCCTACTAATGTAAATCTATTGATTAAAACACCATTGGTTTGCAGTTCTTTCAGTATAAGATCACTTGCATGAAGAGCTGTTGGAATACTATTACGATTCGCATCCGAGGTGAATTCAATAAAGAAACATGGTAAATTAGACGATACCGCGTGCTTCAGTTGATTAAAAGAAATTCGTTTACGATTCGTATTATCTTGATTTATCTCTTGATGTTGTCTTACATCTGACGACATTGAAGACGATGGTTGCTATGTTTGTAAATTAATTTCTGGTTGTACATTATGTGAGTGCTTATGTGCATTATTGCCAATACCCCTTCGAGGATATTTACGAAGACTTCTTCCGTTGCTGATCGAACCTCCACTTTCATCTAGTGGATGGCCACGTTTCGGTGTTGAATTCACTGGTTGCATGAGTTGTTGTTGCTGATTAGACTTTGAATAATTTTTCTGCAAGTACTTGTGTACATTGAAAGCTGCATGCGGATACTCCGATAAAAATCTTGATATAAGTTCAACTTGAACATTTGATATAGAACCTTGTTCCAGTGTCTCATATTCCTTTCCAGACTGAAGATCCTCATTAGGATCAATATTAATTGCCTCTGCCATCAGTACTCTCGTATCGACTTAGAGAGGCAGATGTACAAAGAATGTAACAATAACAAAAAAGAAAAATGTGACTATACTTCACGAAGCAAAAATAAGGAATGAACAAAGTTTCATGATCAACAGCTGTTTGAAGAAAAACAAGGACAAGATTATCATTAATTCTACCTTTTGGTTCAAAAAATGTTCTTGCTCAAAACAAAAAATTAAAATAAAATATTATCGAAATCTGAAAAAAGAGATAGAGATATCGATTATGAATTTGATTCCATTAAACTAAAGGAAAAATGGGTCTTTGCTCAATCTACAAGTAAAACATATTCATAACAGAAAGACAAGCAACTTTTAAATAATGACAAAATTTAACAAAGTACTCTCAAGATACTTTGTTTTTTTCCCACAAAGTACGAAACGCAGCACTTTTCAACCATCGTAAGCAACTCGGGTACATTGCTTTTGATTGAGATACTTAGCAGAGATGGACGAGCCGCGGTGTAAAACCGCCCCGTCCCGTCCCGCCCCGCCCCGCCGCGGGGCGGTGCTAAAACTTGACGGGGCGGGGCGGTGACGGTGCATGACGAAATTTCGCGGTTTCCCCGCCTTTGTATAACCTTGATTTTTTAAATATACTCAGACCTTTAGAGACATCTTTTAAAAATTTAAAAATTTTTTCACAAAACTAATCAGTAAAAAAAGACTTGTTAGCGCAGCTCCAGAGGAGCTAAAATGTGGAACTCACATATATTTTTTTTAATTTTTTGTCCTGATGCCTTATTTTTAAATTGTAAAATACCTTTTTTCCGAATACGTATGAAATCATTGATATATTATACAAAAAACTAGAGTCTTTTATGCGCTGCTGAGGTTTGTAATGGTGGGGGTCACGGTTACCAGATCGATAATTAAAAAATCAGAAAAATTTTTCTAAAAATCGGGAAAAAGTCGGAATTTTTGTTCTCGAAATCGGAAGAAAATCAGAAAGTATTTTTCCATGCTTAAATAACTAGTTTATATATTTTTGATAGCTTCAATATCCTTTATCTTGCTTCTGTTCATCTTTTCGAAGCAATATCGGAAATGATATTTCATAAAGAATTAAAGGAAATATCGATTACACAATTTACTCATGATTGAGAAATCTACATAAGTAATTTGAACAGGATCACATTATTTTTATCAAAAAATGCTATAACCAACTTGACGAAACAATAGAATCAGTATTGTAAATTCATACACACACATGCATTTCACAAAACTCATGCAAAAGAAAACTAAGACTTGTTCTGTATAATGTTCGTTTTTGTTCATACTTTTTTATTAGCTCGAATACTCTTCAAAATATCAGGTTGAGGTAATAGATATTCATAAAAATGTCCACAAGTATAAACAGAATTCATTCCGATTTTCACTTCTGCAACAGCTAAATTAGTACCCATATGATTATGATTAGTTTTATTATATCTGTGATGAAACAAAAAAAGCTCAGGAACGAAAATATTCTTAATTAACACTATAGTAAACGAACAGAGAAAGTTAGTTCATCGTGATAGAAAGCTGGATCTTAATTGTCTGTAAAACATCATAGTTTTATTGGAGGATATGCTTTCAAATCACTGCAGTGTGGTTTGTTGAGTTCATGCGCTTCACTACCCAATAACTATGGTGAAATAGATCGCTATATATGTGTGGTGTCGTGTCATGGTTAAACTGTTCTAGAATGTCCTAAGAACTTAAATTCCCAAATAAGACTTCGAAAACCAGAGGAAAATTAGGAAATCTGAAGGCGATCGGAAAAATATGTTAAAATCGGAAAAATCGGAACGTCGGAAAGTCGTTGAAGAAACTTTCAAAAAATCGCAATTTTTCCTGCCGTATCGGAAGATCTGGCAACCCTGAGTGGAGTGTCTGTAATGGAGTGGGGAAAGGGAGAGAGCCGCCAAACCTCGAACTTAAAACTTACAATCACTATTTTATTCGAAAATATACGTGAGTTCCACAAAATGAGTGACTGTATTATAATTGCCTTTCATTTTCATATATTTATTTTTTTTCTATTTCGGAACGATGTTTATGCATTTAAAATATGCCTCTTCATCTCATGAAATGAAATAGTCATTATGAAAATTTAATGAAAAATTTGCCAATAAATAGTTTTTTAAAACATATTTTTGACGGGGCGGGGCGGGGCGGTGGCGGTTTCAATGCTAAACAGGCGGGGCGGTGGCGGTGCGGGACGGGGCGGTGACGGTGCGACTTTTTTGCTGACTCGTCCATCTCTGATACTTAGCGCTAGAAACACTGATACGTAGATACGTTTTTCTTTCTTGTTATTACATTATTAGATCTGAATTGAATTAGACGAGAATAGACATATAGAATGTGACAGTTGTTAAGAATATTGATTGATTTGTCTGACTACTGGATAGATACTCGTGCTGATATCGATTACGGCTCATACTGTTGATAAGTCATTCTTTCTCATTATCATTTATCTTATCTTCTTAGTTCGTCATTCATTTGTTCTTTCTAATTAGTAAATGTCAAATTAATCTATTATTCGAAAACATACTGATCAACAAGAAATGAGGTAGATTAATGTGTGAAAAGTATTTTTTTTATGTAAGGAGAAGATATGACATGATATACTTTTAACCAAATTCAATGTTCTCTTCCCAGGTTTAATATGATGTGAATTCTTGAATGAATAAATTGTAGACATGTTTTGTGTTCAAACTTTTAAATGATCAAATAACTTCTCTTTATTGAAATGAGAATAGAGAAACACATAAAAAGCACAATTGTTTATAAAAAAATCCTTGTAAAATCAATATCTGAATTTTGTATGAAATAGTTTGAGAGTAAAAGGTCTATTAAGCTTACTTTTGAAAATAGAAAACAGTCATAATCAGATTAAGATTCTATATGATCATTCTATTTGTTGACTTCAATGAGTATATAAAAGGAGAATATCCATATTGCCATCAGGATGAATATCAAAAACAGCTAATTCTGTTCATATCTAGTTAAGTATTGAAAAAGAAGGATACCAACAAATGAATAGGTCTTAATATGATAGCAAGAGATTTTAATCTTATAGATATTGATAAAGAATTATTCTAACGAGGTAAACTTTACAGATTCTAAAAAGCTTTTGAGCTGAAATTTTGTCCACAAATATGGATTTTATAGGCTTACGAAATTCTAAAAGGATATGGGCTTAAGTTGCAGTGTACCTTATATGTCAACATTTTACTCTAATTTTCCAATATTACTCTACTTTTGCGGTAAAATTAATGTTTCACATTTTGATCTGAAACTTTGCCAACACCAAGACTTCAATCAGACGAATGTATCTACAAAGTTTTGGAATTTTTGGACAGATTATTTTTCATATACCAGTATGTTAGTGTAAAGACGTTTTTTTTAATGCATACTGTGTTTGACATGGATATTTTGGAAAATTCATATCTTAGAAATAATTTGTCTAAAAATTCTGCAACTTAGTAGGCTAGCTTGTCTCATTGAGATGTCGATGTAGACAAAGTTTCAGATCAAAATTCGAAACTTTGATTCTACTGCAAAACTAGAGTGCTGCTGAAAAAAACATAGTACAATGTCAGTATTTAAGGCAAAATAACCTATCAGCACATAAAAAGTTTCTCTCGTAAGCTTTATTGACAAAAATTTTTGTTAATTTTGAAACCAGAACTAAAGGTTGTTTTTTTTATTCGGATTCAAAAGCATGTCTGCTATTCATATCTATATATGAATTAAACGTTCATATGGAATGAATGCAGAATAAATTGACAAATTTTCCTTGTGAAGAAATTTAAATCATGTATGTTTGAATTATCGAATAAACACTATCTCATTTTATCGAAACAAATTATTTCTACTTAATCATATGAATGATCCTTCTGTGAAAACATTGACACATTCATAGACATGACCGTGACCAGTCATTTTTGGTTCTAGTCCTAGAGAACTAGAACTGGGCTATCCTGTCCATATCTATTGATCAAAAAGCTTTTCCAAAACACTGATGAACAAATAAAATCATCTGTAGACACCATCTCATATTACTTAAATATAAACAAATGTTTACATTTAACAAAAAAAGAAGAAACCAATAAAGTATCCAAAATTGATAACAGGAGAAAAATTCTAATTTTGACAATTCTTAATATTTGAAATTAATACAGAATAATATCTTAAAGAAAAGAGAAAACTTGATACTGATTTTTAAATAAATTGATTTTAAACATAGAGAATATGTTAATTTTTTCGTTGTATCTGTTCTTTTTTTAGCAAATCTTGAGTGGATTGAAGGTGTCGCAATTCTTGTTGCTGTTCTTGTCGTTGTATTTGTTACTGCATTTAACAATTGAAGAAAAGAACGACAATTTCGTGGTTTACAAAGTAAAATTGAAAAAGATCAACGAGCATTTGTTGTTCGAAATAATCATATACAACAAATTCCGGTTACAGAACTTGTTGTTGGTGACCTTTGTCTTATTAAATATGGTAAAATTTTGAATAAAAATCTTTTTTTTGCAGAGAAGGTTTGTTTTTCTAAATCATTCTGTTTTAGGTGATCTTATACCAGCTGACAGAATTCTAGTTCGGTCAAGTGATCTTAAAATCGATGAATCTTCTTTAACAGGTCATGGTGGTCAATATGGTCAAAAATGTATCAAAAAGCTTTTTCAAACTTTTTTCAATTGAATTTAGTTCTTCTGGTTTTTAGAATGTGGATAACTAAATATAACAGAGATTAGTCTAGGGATAGGAATTGACATAATGCTTCAGAAAATAAGAGTTCTTTCGTAATGAAAGGGGTAAGAAAAGAAAATCTAGCGGACATAGCCAATGTCGTAGCTTCTCAAAAGAGATACATTTGAAAAAAAGCTAACAGCTACTTAATGAATTCCAATAGCTTCTTAATGATTCTCTACAACTACTTAATGATTCTACAGCTATTTAATGAATTCCTATAGCTACTTAATGATTTGATATAGCTACTTAAGACTAAGTGCCTGAGAAAATCAGTCACTATAGGACATTGACGATGGAGTGACATTTCAGAATTCGCTGAGTTTTTGATATCTTATAGAGAGTAGTGAATTTAGTATTTCCTGAAATTTTCAGCTCGATCAAATCACCTTTTCCAATACAAACAATCGAAATACTAACGGAATTTTTAATAATTTTTAATATTCATTTTTAACCGATTTTGAGGTAGTGTTTTTTAGTAAAAGTAACTTTTATATTTCAATAACTAAGAATTTTGAGTTCTCGTTTTTCTAACTATAACTATTGAGGTATTCTTCTTCTAGATACGAAAATTCAAAAGTTTTTGTCAATCCCATAAGAACTTCTGAAATACTCTCAAAAAATCTATTTTGTCGTTTTTCACTAAGATGTTGGTCAGTCGCATTTTATGCGGCAACAAGCAATCGCTCTGATATTTCTACTGATGATAGAGCACATCAACTTCTCCCACCTAGGCTATCTCACGATTTTGGTCCTTGAGAAAAGTAAAGCACTTTTGATTAAAAGTCAGTTGTTTCTGCAATCCATGTTATATACGAAATTTAGGGTTTTTTTTCATGGCTAAATCCGGTAATATCAAATAGTAAACTCTTTAGATTTGAATAAAATGTAACTCTTTAAGTGGCTAGTACTATTTTTGATTATTTATTGATATAAATAACAAGAAAATCTAATAAATTTTAGTTTAGCAATTTATTATCATATATTTAGAAATGAATGACTCTTGATTTTTCA